AAATGCATTTGATTTATGGGTATTGATTTTATATTCTGCTACTTTGCTGAATTCTAGAATTCTAGAAGTTTTCTGGTAAAGTTTTTTGGATCCTCTAAGTATAGAATCATATCTTCAGCAAATAATGATAGTTTGGGTTCTTTTTTTCCCTTCATATTCCTTTAATTTCTTTTTTCTATCTAATTGTTCTGGCTAGAGTTTCAAGGACTATGTTGAATAGAAGTAGTGAAAGAGGGCATTCTTCTCTTGTTCCAGTTTTTAGTGGGGAGTGCTTCCAATTTTTCTCCATTTAGAATGATGTTGGTCTTGGGTTTAGCAGAGATAGCTTTTACAATGTTGAGATATGTTCCTACAATCCCTAGTTTTTCTAGTGTTTTGAATATGAAAGGGTGCTGTAATTTGTCAAATGCTTTCTCTGCATCATTGATATAATCCTATGATTCTTATCTTTAAGTCTATTGATGTGATGAATTACGTTTACTGATTTCCGTATGTTGAACCAACCTTGCATCCCTGGAATGAACCACACTTGATCATGGTGCACTCTTTTTTTAAACATATTTTTGTATGCAATTTGCCAGAATTCTATTGAGAATTTTTGCATCAATGTTCATCAGGGACATTGGTCTGAAATTTTCTTTCCTTGATGTGTCTCTGTCTGGTTTTGGTATCAGGATGATACTAGCCTCACAGAATGAGTTTAGAAGGGTTCCTGCCTTTTCTATTTCATGGAATAATTTGAGGAGTATTGGTATTAGTTCTTCTTTGTAGGTCTTGTAGAACTTGGCTGAGAATCCATCTGGTCCCAGGCTTTTCTTGGTTGATGGGCTTTTGATGGCATCTTCTACTTCCTTGCTTGAAATTGATCTGTTTAAATTGTGTATGTCCTCCTGGTTCCGTTTGGGTAGATCATATGCCTCTACAAATTTGTTGGTGTCTTTGAGATTTTCTAGTTTACTGGAGCATAAATTTTCAAATTAGCTTCTAATTCCCTTCTGTACATCAATAATATCTATTGTAATAATTCCTTTCTCATCATGAATGTTAGTAATTTTAGTTTTCGCTCTCCTTCTTTTCATTAGGGTGGCTAAGGGTTTGTCAATTTTATTTAGTTTCTCAAAGAACCAGCTTTTTGTTTTGTCAATTTTTTGAATTGTTTCTTTTGTTTCAATTTCACTGATTTCAGCCCTGATTTTAATTATTTCCCGTCTTCTTCTTTTGGTGTTGGTTTGTTCTTTTTCTAGAACTTTGATATGTAATGTCAGGTCATTTATTTGTGGACTTTTTCTTCTTGTAACGAATGAGCTTAATGCAATAGGCTTTCCTCTTAGCACTGCCTTCATAATGTCCCAGAGATTTTGATAAGTTGTATCAGTTCTCATTTACCTCTAAGAATTTCTTTATCTCCTCCCTTATGTATTCTGTTTTCCATGCGTCATTCAGTAGCATATTTAAATGTTATTGGAGTGGCTTAGATTTTTTTATTTTATCCTTGATTTCTAATTTCATTCCATTATGGTCTAATAGAATGCAGGGAGTATCTCTATTTTTTTGTATTTGCTGAGACTTGCTTTGTGGCATAATATATGGTCTATTTTGGAGAAGAACCCATGTGCTACTGAGAAAAAAGTTTATTTGCTCTTTGATGGATGGAATATTCTATATACATCTGTTAAGTCTAAATTATTGATTGTTTTATTGAGTTCTATAGTTTCTTTGTTTAGTTTTTGTTTGGAAGACTATCCAGTGGTGAGAGGTGTGTTAAAGGCACCCAGTATTATTGTGTTATGGCCTATTTGATTCTTGAAGTTGAGAAGAGCTTGTTTGATATACATAGCTGTCCTGTTGTTTGGGGCATAGATCTTGATGATTGTTATGTCCTGTTGATGTATGATTCCCTTGAGTAGTATGAAATGCCTTTCTTTATCCTTTTTTGCTGACTTTGGTTTAAAGTCCATTTTATCTGATATGAGGATGGAAACCCCTGCTTATTTATATGGTCCATGTAAATGATATGTTATTTTCCCATCCTTTCACCTTGAGTCTTGTGGATGTCTTTTCCTGTGAGATGAATCTCTTGAAGGCAGCATATTGTTGGGTCTTTTTAAATTTTTTTTCCAATCTTCCAGTCTATGCCTTTTAATTAATAAGTTTAGACCATTCACATTCAGGGTTATTATTGAAATATGGTTTGTATTCCCTGTCCTTTTGGTTTATTTTTGGTTTTTAACCTGACTTGGTTTCTCCTTTGATTGGCCTTTCCTTTAGTGTACTTCCTCCCTTTGTTGATTTTCATTGTTGTTTTTCATTTCCTCCTCCTGGAATATTTTGCTGAGGATGCTCTATAGTGCAATTTTTCTTGCTGTAAATTCTTTCAGCTTTTGTTTATCATGAAAAGTTTTCAGATCATATCAAATCTGAGGCCTTATTTTACTGGATATAAGATTCTTGGTTGGCACCCATTTTCTTTTGGAGCTTGGTATATGTTGTTCCAGGATCTCCTGTCCTTTAGGGTCTGGGCTGAAAAGTCTGCTGAGATCCGACTTGGTCTCCCCCCTATATGTAATCTGATTCTTCTCTCTTCCAGCCTTTAAAATTCTATCCTTATTCTGTATGCTAGTTATTTTTATTTTAATGTGCCTTGGTATAGATCTGTTGTAATTTTGTACATTTTGTGTCCTGTAAATCTTTTGTATTTGATTTTCCAATTCATTCTTCATTTTCTGATATTATTTCATTGAAGAGATTGTGCATTCCTTTGTTTTGAAACTCTGTGCCTTCCTCTATCCTGATAAATTTTAGATTTGGTCTTTTGATGCTATCCCATAATTCTTAGATGTTCTATTCATGGTTTCCTACCATCGTCACTGTGTGGTCAACTTTATTTTATATTTTATTGTGTGTTTGTGTGTGTGTGTTTATATGTATATATACTAATTGATTTATGTATATAAAACATATACATAAATCAATTAGTATGTATACATATATATACATATACATAAATCAATTCATATAAATATACATATATACAAACACACACATACACACACACACACACACACTTGATTATATATTTTGTCTTTATTGTCTGAGGTTCTGTCTTCCAAGTGATCTAGTCTGTTGTTGATGCTTTCTAGTGAGTTTTTTAATTTGTTTTATTGTTTCCTTCATTTCATTGATTTCTGTTTGTTTTTTCAAAATCTCTTTCTTTCTTGAAGTAGTCTTTTGCTACCTGTATTTGCTCTCTTATCTCTTTGTTGGTGTGATCAATTTTTGCCTTTTTTTTGCTCTCTTAGGTCATTCTTTAATTCCCTGATCATTTTAATTATGCACATTCTGAACTTCTCTGTCATTTCATCTACTGTGCTATCAATGGATTCTATTGTTATAGTATCTTGGTTTGTTTGGAGCGTTTTCCTCCCTTGTTTTTTCATGTTGTCTGTGTGTCTTCCTCTCTTGCAGTGCGAATCTGAGGTATTGCAGTTTCTACCCTATAATCTTGAAGTGTCCCAGCAGGTTAGGAATACATCACCTTTATGGGGGAGATCAATGTTTAGAGCACCCACGGCAACTAATATGCAGCCATAAATCAATTAGCTTCTATTTAGACAGTTACAGTTTTGCCCCAATAAACAGAAATGATGAGTACAATTATCTTCTAGCATATAGTCAGTAGGGTTTCATAAGAGTTTATAGTTTCTAGTGGTGGACAGAGAGAAGGAAGGAGTAGGATGTGATGTTTATGAGGTAGGATGTGAGAATATAGAGGTATTAGATTACAGAATGAGTGAAAGAGGATCATCAACAGAAGTTGGCTGTTAGCAGGAGGAAAAAACAGAGAGGTAACCCCTGAGCAAGGCTCCCTGTTGCTTTTGCAACAGGATGGTGACTGGTAGTACACCTAGTAGAGATAATCTGGTGCAACCTGGCCCATAGGGACCTTAGGGATGGTCTTCCAGGACCTGGCTGTTGTCCTTAGGTGGAACGACCACATCCCTAGTTAATAGATGAAGTACATGTTGATGAGATTCAAATTTTTATTCCAAAAAATAGAAACAAAATGACTTATGAGCTATGTTTAGAAATCACTAAATTTTTCTCATCAATATGCTGATGTATAGAAGCCATTTGTGCTAGGTAGGTACATCTATTAGTCTCCTTATTTCTTTTCTGATTCAATTTTTACGATTAAGGGCTTCAAAGATTGGGGTAGGGGGTGGTGGGTTTTCAGGCAGTGCTTGTTTTCCCAGGAGTTTCACTATGCAGACCCTAGAGAATCATCTGGAGTTTATAGATCAGAAAGTAACAATTGCTCCATTGATTTTCAAAAGACTTGGAGTCCTGTAGGCAGAACCCCATTAGGCTGTGCCCATAAAGGAACAAGCAGCTTTTCACTGGTGTACTTGTTAAAGATTACCAGCCTTGATAGTCCTAAATTTCAAAAGCTAGCAGAGTTAAGAAAAGAATAAGCCAAAGTAGCAACAATGGCCCAGTGACTGTGGCACGCTATTGTTTGGGCTTTTTGGAGACCAAGCATCAAAAGAAATTTTCTTTCAAAGGAATGATTTGAGATATAATGCCGCTAAATTGTTTTGTGTTGTGTTTAAGTTTCAGGTTACAGAAACAATCACAAATTAATTCCTAGCAAACAGCATGACATAGCTGCCCCCTCAACAGGCATTTGAATTCTGGTCCCAGTTTGTACTTTAAAGTGCTATTAATCTTAAAATTACCACGGCATCATTTCTTTATTTTTACCCCCTTTTTCCTCTTTCCTCTTTCCAAGAGTGATTACTTACCTGTTTGGTAAAAACAAGTTGCTGTGGCTTTAAGATGAATTTTTAAAGGGGGTCTCCTAGGAGGCAGCCTGCTGGTTCTGCTCTGTATGGATTCCATTCGAATCTTGTATAGATTTCTGGTGCCTTTTCCCTCCCACCTTCCATAGCAGATGTTAATAAATATTTTGTTGCCCCCTCCTTTTCTTTTTTCTATACTAGACCATGAATCCTCCCCTTCCACCACCCCCTCTCCTGGCTGCCACTGTCCTCGCCTCCACACCACCAGGCGCTACTGCTGCTGTTGCTGCTGCTGCTGCTGCTGCCGCCGCTGCTGCTGGAATGGGACCCAGGCCTGTGGCAGGATCCACTGACCAGATTGCACATTTACGGCCTCAGACTCGCCCAAGTGTGTAAGTGAGGATGTCATTTATTACTGCTTGAGTATTCACTTAAAACTAAGCCTAAACAAGAGAGGTAGAAACACACCTTTCTGATATGAGCTGCTGACAGGCTTATGGCCCACCAAGTAGTTTGTGTTCTGCAGACCTCTGCCTGGTCATGCATATAATTAGGAGACTGCTGAAACAGAATGAGCCTAACACATCAGCGTGCTAGGCAGCTCTCTTGCTGTGGAATGGCCTTTCACAGTTAGGGAAACATGCCGTTTTCTTCTTTCTAATAGCAAACGTGTGGGGAACTGCCTTTTTTTTTTTTTTAAATAACTCCTGTTTGAGCTTTTGGTCTTGATTTTCATTCCTTGCAGTAGGGCATTAAGAAACAGGAAGGTGTTCCACACAAATCAGATCTAGGCGGATGCTAACACATAATAAGAGGGAGTTGGGAAGAATAGAAGTTCATTGGATTAGACAAAGGGGAATGAAGGGAAGGGAGGGAGGTTGGGAATAGGAAAGACAGTAGAATGAATTGGACATAACTTTCCTATGTTCATATATGAATACACAACCGGTATAACTCCACATCATGTACAACCACAAGAATGGGAAGTTGGACTCCTATGTATAATATGTCAAAATACACTCTACTGTCGTATATAACTATAAAAAATATTTTAAAATATATGTTAAAAAAACAAATCAGATCTAGGTATAAAAAACTCTACATCCCCAGCAATAATTATCCAGAAAAGTCTATTATTCTGTCCAGAGTTTATTAGTGGCAGAATGCAATAAGATTTTTGCAAATCCTGATTGTTCACAGCACCAGTCAGAACTGTAGATTAGTTTGAGTATCTGATTTTCAGGTGTTGATAGGCAGAATCACTTTACATTGTGGGGTTGTTTTGTACTCTCTATGACCTAGACCTTCTTTTCCTCTGAGTTTTTCAAATGCAATCTCCTTCCTGGATGAGCATATACAAACAGGTGCAGCCCAAGCCTCTAGGTTGAGCTTGTGTTTGGAAGGCAGCATATTGTGCTTCTCAATGGGATTTTATACCATATGTCCTCATTTGAGGCTATTTCCCAAGTCTATCAAGTGCCATTTGAAGTGCCCAGTTTTCCCAGTGGGAACCTAATCCATAGCAGCACATAAGGCACTCTTAGAAACAGCATTAAAGGGCTGGGGTTGTGGCTCAGTGGCAGAGGGCTTGCCTAGCATGTGAGGCACTGGGTTCAACCTCAGCACCATAAATAAATAAATAAATGTACATCAACAACTAAAAAAATATTTTTTAAAAAAGAAACAGCGTTAATTCTGTTACACCATACAAATACCATTTGATGGATACTTTTCCACACTGGGAGGAGAAGATCTTGGCAAGGAAGGCCTGTAACTCCATTTAAAATGTAAACAGCAAAATCTCTTTCAAGGGAGACTTGCGAATGCTACTTATAGATTAAAAGTTTGTGCTTTCAGTAACATTTGTACAACATTCAAGATGTTGTAACAAACAAGAGTTTTGAGCACCTCGGTGTATGTCTGTTAGCCTGAGATCAAATGTTTTCTTCCTATTCTAGGTATGTGGCTATCTACCCATACACTCCCCGGAAAGAGGATGAACTAGAACTGAGAAAAGGGGAGATGTTTTTAGTGTTTGAGCGTTGCCAGGATGGCTGGTTCAAAGGGACATCAATGCATACTAGCAAGATCGGGGTTTTCCCTGGCAATTACGTGGCACCCATCACGAGGTATGGTTTTGAGTAAATGGTTTACTAAGTTCTAAACAGAACAGCTTTGTTCTTTCCCAGGATTTCCAGCCTGTTCTTATTTCTTCTCACATTATAATTGCCTGTTACATAGCCAAAGTTTTTAAAATCCATATCTATATCTGCTAAAACCCCTTTTAATGCTAAGATCTTAGCTTACTTTTCACATGGATATGTGTGAAATTATAGGTTTCTACCAATAAATATACTGGGTTGGAAGTTATTTTCTTTAATTTATATGTTAGAAGACTCAACTGTACCCTTTTCAGTTGTTTTCCTACTAGAAAATAAAAGGAATAATGTTTGAAATAAGAGCTATGTTATTAATACTTTTCTGTTTATATAATGCCTACTATATACCAGGCATGCTGATTTCTAAACCCATTACATTTATCAACTCTCAGTCCTTAAACACGTCATTGATGTAGTTACTGTTATTATCCCCCACTTAATAAGTGAGGAAATTGAGGCATAGAGAGATCAAATAACTTGTCTGAGATGACACTGAAGAAGGTCTCAAGCCCATACCGTGTGGATCTATATCCAGTCATTAACTGGGCAATTACCTGTGAATTCTTAGTCAGAAATAAAAATGCCTTAAATATGGTGTTGATCCATTTTAAATAAGAGCAGTTTTGTTCCCCAGGGGACATTTAGCAGTAACTGAACATAATTTTGATGGGCATTTGGTCACAACTGAAGGTGTGGGGTGCTGATGGCATTTACTAGGTAGAGCCCAAAGATGCTGTTCCATCCTGCAGTGTGCAAGACAGCCCCCACCTCACCCCACAGGAATAATCTGGCCCAAAGTATCATAGAAATCCTATTACAGAATGATAGGACTTTATATATGTAAAATTTTTCTCTATTTTATTTAAAGATAATTTACCTTCTGGTCACTGAGGAAACTATTCTCAGGAACTAAAGGAAATGATAGTAATTAAATCAACATGGAAGAAGCCCCAGGTTCTGACCACTGGACTTTTAATAATAGTCTAGGTTTAACTATGTTAAATCATTCTTCAAATGTCCTGATTTTAAACAAATGACTTAATGAACTGACATGTTTGTCAGCTGTTGGCCTTGATTTATAGGTTGGCTAGCAGCCTAATCAAATGAAAATCACTATTGTTGCAGATGGTGACAGAATGTTAGCTTTAATTTGACTTGCAAATTTTTAATCAATATAAACCTTCTATTCTGTATATGTTAAAATCGACATTCAGAATCCAGCCCATCCAGAAAATGGCAGATAAAACCTCCTTGGTGCAAAATAATAATAATAATAATAAATAAGGGAACTACTACAAACAACAGTAAATAAATGAAGTTGGTCAAGCTGAGATTCAAAAACAGATTATTATAAGTCTGTTTAACTCTGGAGCAATTCTTGCTTAGAATAAGTGCTGTCTGAGTCATCATGATAAATAAGAAGTATGTTTGTGCTATTAAAATACCCTATCTATTAGAGAATTGCTCTAAACAGAATGGTCATTGTCTAAATGATTTTAGGAATATAAAAAAAATACATTATACGAAATCACTTTGTACTTAATATAATTACATTCATAGGAAATAAATTTGTTTAGAGCTGGCCATACCCGCCAAAATGTGCAAATACTGAAGGAACAGAAAAGTCCCATTTTATACTGGACCTACCTTCAAGGAACTTTCACTGCATCATCAGCATTAACACGGGATTTATTTCTAAAAAAAGAATACACCACATTTTGTAATCAAGGGCGAAATTAAAGATACACTGTGTTGAATATAGAAACAGAACAAAGGAAGGAATCTGCATGAAACAGTGGAACCATAAGATCTTAAACTTGGACCCCAGGCAAGACTTGTGGAAATGATGGGATTTGTGCTGGGTCTTGAAACAAATGAGACTGAAATTGGTCAAGAGCAGCCAGAAAGGTCATTCCCAGAATGTGTGCATACGTGTGTGTGCGCGCACAGACACTTGAGTGATGTGTCGGAGACAAGTAGAGAGAAGGTCAGAAGCTGTGGAAATGAGGCTATTAAAGGGAACACACCTGGCTTGTCTGGTAGGTGAAAGCAGGAGAATCCAGGACGTTGGAAGTCAGTGGGATGCTTGGTTTGTGACATGGAAAACCGAACCCAGAAACTGTATATTCTTGAGCAGAGTGTGACGTGTTGGTCTCTGGTGACTCAGAACAATTTCAAGACCTTTCTCTGCCTCAGGGCCATCATTTCTTTGAATTTGCTCTTCTTAAAAACTTTGTAAAAATAATTCCATTCATTTTTTATAACCTTCTGTCTTTAAAGCCCTGAGTCATTTTTCTTGCATTTAATTGTTCTCTCTCTCATTTTGCTGATGGATTGGGCTTTCTGTTTCTGTCTTGGCAGGGCGGTGACAAATGCTTCCCAGGCTAAAGTCCCTATGTCTACTGCGGGTCAGACAAGTCGAGGGGTGACCATGGTCAGTCCCTCCACTGCAGGAGGGCCTGTCCAGAAGCTCCAGGGAAATGGTGTGGCTGGGACACCCAGTGTCGTCCCCACGGCTGTGGTATCAGCAGCTCACATCCAGACAAGTCCTCAGACGAAGGTCCTGTTGCACATGACTGGGCAAATGACAGTCAACCAGGCCCGCAACGCAGTGAGGACAGGTAAGAGGAGAAGACCAGGGCACATCAGGGAAAGAATTTGCCTGTCTAATGGCAGATCATTTATGGCAGAGGTTGAGAAAATTAGGTATAATATTAAAATGATGAACAACAGTCGAATAAGCTGGGAATGGTGGCACATGCCTATAACCCCACCTACTTTGGGGGCTAAGGCAGGAGGATCTCAACTTGGAAGTCAGCCAAGGCAACTTAGTGAAACCCTGTCCAAAGAGTAAATGAAAATATGACTTCTGTAATCAAGATTGTAAGTCTCAGATCTCACTGTTCCTAGCTCTGTGACCACTGTATGATTCTTTGCCAACTGGTGTGTTGATCATTGTTGATGAACTAAGTTGTGAATTCATTTTAGACCCAGTAGAATCTTAAATAGCTTTCTTGGTTCTGTAGCATTGAAAACCTACTGAGAATCTTGGGTAACAATGGTGGGGTAAACTAAAGGCTTGTAAATTCTGTCGGAAAAAGAAGAGAAATGGTTCGTTATAAGCCAGGCACGATGACACAGGCCTGTCTTTATTCCCATCTATTCAAGAGGCTGTGGTAAGAGGATCATAAGTTTAAGACCAGTCTGAGCAGCATAGCAAGACCCCCAACTCAAAAAAAGAAAAGAGAAATGGTTAATTGAAAAAGGACTTGAGGCTGATATTATTCAACACTGTAGAGAACCATCAAAAACCTATTCTGTGTGGAAAGGTGTTCTCTTTAACTAAAGGGTTTTGGGTTATAGTTGAACCTCTAGGTTCTCAACAGAATCCAGGGCTGATCTGGAAGGAAAATAGTGTCTAGAGATCCAGCCAAGATTTTAATTGCATTTAAATTACTCTCCATCCATTCTTTATTGTAATAAGTAGCAGTAGCAACCTTTCATTGTGTGTGATGCAGTAAACTGACTCATGTTTCAATGAGTAGCATTTGGTAGGAAGTTGACTTTTTCCTCCTGTCGTCTACCAGTTGCAGCACATAACCAAGAACGTCCCACGGCAGCGGTGACGCCCATCCAGGTACAGAATGCCGCCTGCCTTGGGCCTTCATCTGTGGGCCTGCCCCACCATTCACTGGCCTCCCCGCAGCCTCTGCCTCCAATGGCAGGCTCCGCTGCCCACGCTGCTGCTGTCGGTATCAGTCGAGCCAGTGCCCCACTGGCCTGTGCTGCGGCCACTTCGCTGACCTCCCCGAGCATCACCGCTGCCTCTCTGGAAGCCGAGCCCAGTGGACGGACAGTGACCATTCTCCCTGGACTTCCCACGTCTCCAGACGGCTCTTCATCAGCTTGTGGGAGCGGTTCAGCAAGCAAACCAGACAAGGACAGCAAGGTAAGAGCGCACCCTTCTCTGCCGGTGCTGTGTCCCGTGGTGTCTCGCTAACGCACATACTCTTTGTTTGAGTCCTTCTGATGCTTACCACGGGTGAGTCACTGTCCCCGAGCCAGGAACACAGTGGGGAGGAAACGGGGCACCACCCTGTCCTGCATTCAGACTCCTGCCAGTTGCCCAGCCCTCTGTGGGCATTAGGGAGGCCACGGTGAATAAGACTTCGGTGAGCCGCCTCTCTCAGCTTGGTCTCTGGCAGGAATTTTCTTTCTTCTTGGGTCACTCATTCTTTCATCATTTTGCTGTCCTTAAGTTTTCCTGTTCACTTGTTCACAAATCTGTTAAAAAATAAAAAGAAAGAAAAATTTGAAGACACAAGGGGGTTGAAAATGTTGATTAAAAGTATTATTTGTTGCCGGGTGCTGTGATGCATGCCTGAAATCCCAGTGGCTTGGGAGGCTGAGGCAGGAGGATCACGAGTTCAAAGCCAGCCTCAGCAAAAAGCAAGGTGCTAAGCAACTCAGTGAGACCCTGTCTCTAAATAAAATGCAAAATAGGGCTGGGGATGTGACTCAGTTTTTGAGTGCCTTTGCATTCAGTCCCCTGTACTCACCCCCTCCCCCACCAAAAAAAAAGTATTACTGGTGGCTTTATTTTATCAACAGTACATCTGACATCAGCATGGTTCCTTCAGAGGACCTGAAATACAGGGAAAAATTGATTTTCTAAACTCATATGTATTTTTCATGTTTTTCACTTGGGGCTGAATATCAAAGAAAATACAAGTAGAAAACTGTTTCAAGTACTCACCGAGGGATGGGTTTTGAGACAGGTAGTTAAAGGAAAGAGAAACTGATAGTGATTAAATGTGACCAGGAGAGAAGAGATAATAGCAGGGTCTGCATAATAGTACTGCAGTCGGCACTTGTTCCTCAATATTTCATGCATTCCCCCTAAAGCTGTGGATCAGTCCTCGGAAGCGCTAGGGTAATCATAAACTCTCGGCACCTGGTTCAGCGGTGATGTATGTTGCTGTATTTAAATGGGTAGGTGAGCCTGTAAACAGGAATTTATAAGGAAATAAACTTTACCGCTTACTAAAAATATTTAACTTTTTACATGAGAAATTTTGAAAAAGATTGATATCTATTCCGTGTTTATAATCAACTACATTAAACTTGGGCTCAAGCTGACACATCCAACTTTGTTAATATCATTAAAAGAGTTATTTTTATGGTTTAGATTTTAATGCATGGGCACGGTGTGTCCCAGGGCCCTGGTCACTGATGGGGAAGGACCTCTTCAGCCCCTACCTTCCCAGGAATCCTGGTATAGCATTCATCGAATCTCTGAAACTTGTTTCCTGTGGTTCCCAGAGATGTCCACCTCCTAATCCCTAGAACCTGGGGAAATGTTTCCTTGCTGGCCAAAAGCACTTGACAAATGTGCTTAAATTAAGAGTGCTTATCTGGGAAGACCCAGGGTTAAGTACAAGGGTTTTCCTGAAGGGGAGGCAGTGGGGTCAGGAGAGAAACAGAAGGGGAAGCAGAGGTAGGAGTGATGAGAGAAAGGAGCAAGCCAAAGAATCCCGGCAGCATCCTTTCCTACAGCATCCAGGAATGGAGCCCTACCAGCACCCTTGATTTTAAGAACTTCTTTTCACCACAAAAGTTGGTGCAATGTTACAGCTGCAACTAATCCAGGACCCTGAGCATCATTCCCTTGAGTACCCATCCCTGACCAATGGCTATTGGCCTGTGCTTGGACACCACAAGGGCTGCTAGTGCCCTAACTCTGGATGGTCCCTGGTCATCGTCAGACATCCTTAGCTCAGAGCAAAGGCACTGAGCACACATGTGTCTCCCTGTGCCCTCCCTTCATTGTAAGGGGCCTTGTGGAACATATCGATCCTTTTACATGATGCCCCGAGATGTTCACAAAGTTGTCTCCTTATTTCTTCTTCCTTTTTTTAAGGTCATACTCTTGTTCATCATGTCACAGATATCCACGTTTTCCCTTCTCAAGACTACTACTTCATTTGATGTTCCAAGTCTGTTGATAGTACAGTAATTCCATGATCATCATCACTTAAATAATCACGAATCCTCACAACTAAGGGTCCTTTAGCCCACATTCCTAAATCACCTCTACTAGGGTATCACGGGGCCACTTGCCAGATGCTACATTGAGAGCAAATGTCTTTCAAACTCATTTTTGCTATCACTCACTGGTAGCAAACTTTTCCTGGAAGAGTCTGCTCAAATTGTTGTTTCCTTTCCTAAGTGCTTGTAAACCTTGAAAGTTTTTTAGTTTGAAAAATTCTAGAATTTCCCAGTCTGCAGAGTGCCTTGTCTTCTTTTTGAAACGTCCTCATGTTTGCCTGTTGAGTTGACCTTGATCCCCAAGTTCACTAGAGTCTCTCATAGATTATTGGTTGTACTTCAGCTGTCAAGAGTATCCATTTGATCTCTCGATCCCTCTTTTCACCCATTTCTCTCTTATCAAGATTTATTCTTCCTTTTCAGTATGAAGAGTATCCTTCCCTTTGCTCCTTCCATCTGAGAACCATTGTACACTCCAGATAGCAGATCTGTGTCTTTCTTGTTCTTTTTGTTTCAAATATCTTTTTAAATCCCCTTTTAATTTTTTTTTTTTTTTTTTTTTTTTTTTTTTTGTCTTTAGCATTTTGGCAAGTTTAAGCTCATTCTGATCTTCAGCCTTCTTGAATCACCATGCGCCATACTATGTTCTTTGTTACGGGCCCTTCTCTTCATCTTTTTGTACATGTCCTTTAAAAATGTGAGCCCATTACGCTGCTCCCTGGGGAATCACATCAGTTCCTTTGGATGCCTCTACATTTTCATCTGCCCAGATAATTTGCAATTGTATGGGTAGAATTTCATTTTGAGAGTCTTCCCTTTCCTCTTGAAGCATCTTCCCTTTTGAGTTTCATGTCATACATGTTTTCTTTGAACTTTTAAAATCAATTCTTTTAAAAGGAAGAGTTCAAACCTACCTCCAGTCTCTTCTGGGCGCCTTCTTCGAAGTTCTTGGTATTTCTGCTTCTCCTGGAGAGCATGTCTAGCTCCTGGCTGGTCTCCTCTCCCCATAGTTGATCAGAATCAGATCCAGAATTGCAGTGTGCTTGGCTTTCTGTGAGATTGAACTATCTGAAAGTCAAGGGAAAAGTATATGAGAATCTCTTCTGCCTATGCTATTCCTTTTGAACCGTATTTTATTTGGAAGTCCTGTATTACAAAATCTTAGGAATATCTAAAAGTTATGTTTTCATCCCAGAGTTAAAGTCTCTAGCTAACTTGGTATGTGTACTCTGTATTGGACCAAAGTTATCAGGAATACTATATATTTTCAAACATAATCTTAGTTATTACTTGTTTGAAATCTGGACCTTTCTGTCATTGTTATTTTTCCTTCCATGAGATCCCTGATTTCTTTCATAATCATGAGTTTAACAGCTTTGTCTGCTGTTTTTCTAAAAATGGATAAAACATCAACATTTACTGCCTCAACTCCTCACCCCCAAATTCCTCACAATTCTCTCTTAAGGAGCCAACCACAGGTTTTCTTCAGTCAGCCAACATTTAAGGACCTGTCTGTTATTCTTGATTTTCTTAAGCAGAGCTTCCTATCCGGTTTTTAAGATTCATTGTTTTCTATTCTGAGCCCTTTTCCTGAAGTCCCTGCTGATTATTTTCTTTGCTCAAACCATTTTCCTTCCTCCCCATTCTTCTTTTGCTGTCAGAAATAAGATCGTGTATGTGTGTTTTGCCATTCTGTTTGCTGGAAAGGAAGCCCACCCTCCCTGTGACGAGAACACAGTCACTGCCCTGCCCTTGCTGAGAACTGGGATCCAGACCAGCTCCCCGAAGTGCAGATCCACACACACAGTTCAACTGAGAGCAGCCTTTGCGATCTGTGGCGACAGGGAAACGTGACTGCTCCTATGATTCCCCTGCGCTTCCAGAGGCGTTGCTTGCACTGGACACACAGAAGAGAAGAGCGTGGGCCTGATTCAGATCTCACCATCACCCCTTGCTAGCTTAGAAAGCTTCAGGCACTGAGAATAATAGTTAATTCCTGCTTCATCCGGTTGCTGTGAATAAATGTAGAAATCCTTTCTGAAAGCATTTGACAAAATTTTTGAAGTTAGTGGTGTTTTGATCATGTCTACAATTTCACATGGCACTTCCCATAGGGCCCCTCCTTAAAGACCCCTCCCCTGGTCCCCTGTATCTCAGGCAGCACCCGAATCATCATCACTCTCCTCTTACTCTGCTTTATTCTTGGCAGAGGGCCTATTTTATAGCCACAATTGTGTCTCTGCTAGGCAACATGAGTTGTTCTTTGTCTTATTTGCTATTGTATTCCTGAGTCTAGCAGTTTGCCTTCTTCATGTTAGACACTCTGTAAATACTCGTTCAGAGTGGGAGTGATTACTATAGATAATCGTGAATTTAGTTTTTGAGATTCCTTACCTAAGAACAATTGATTTTGAGTTTTAGGAGTCTGGCTATATAGATTATTGATGGCCTATGGCCCAGTAATACTATTTTTTTTTTTTGCTGATTTCTGCATGTCTGAGGGCAAAAACAAAACAAAAAATGGAAGACTCAATGGGAGAATGTTGTTAATTGTGACTCTCTCAAATAAAGTTTATTTCTACTCTGGAAAGAGCTCCAACTTGATGTTTTCCATCAGACTCATTGTCTGTTATGTGACTTATAGAAAGGAATTAAGCTGATGGTCAGAAATTATTTCATATATAAAAATAACTCTGATTATCTGGTGATCATTTTCTGACCCAGATAGTTGTTTTGTTTTTTGTTTGTTGGTTGGTTGGTTGGTATGTGATGCTATTTTAAATCGTCAGCTCTTCTGAAGGGAAAACGATGATTCTAAAAACATTATTTCATCTGGGAATAATTTATTGGAAAACCCACAGGAGATGAGTTATAAAGGTTTATGTTAAAAGATAGGCCCCTTTTTCATGTGTGCTAATGTTGCATTTAAAAAATTGCTTTGCTGAAGTATAGTCTGCACTAATTCATCCAGTTTCCATTTCTGCTGTTTGATTTTGAAGAAAAAAGAAAAGAAAAAAACAAAGGTGCCCTTAGATGATAAGTGTCTGAATTTGCAGTTAACTCTTCCAAGTGGCATGTTGCTCTGCTAATAGAGAAAACTCCAGAATATGAAATTAATAGCACAGCTCCTTAGAACTAGGGCTGCATCTTTCCTGTGTTAGCATCCCCTCCCTGTACCCCCTGCACCCTGCCATGATACCTAATCCTCTGCCTTCTGCTCCATGGGTAGTCAGCATCAGTTGATGATGATAACACATCCCTTAGAAGTCATTAAAGCAAGCTGTATTTAATGTGTTTAATCATTTTCAATGAACCAAGTCATCTTTCTTCTTAATCACTTTAAAGGCTGTTCCCTGAGTGCATTTCAGTTATCTGATATTCTTCTGAGTGCCCGGTACTGAGCTTTTAAGCAACATCTTTAGCTGTGGCTTGCTGAGATGGTAATTTATCAATGGACTCGATGTTCTTGGTGGATCCGTGGGGGTCCAGGGATTAGTGTGTGCCCTCTTACATCATGGCAGGAATAGCTAGAAGTCACAGCTGATAGCTACCTTCGAAGTGTAAGCTATCAGACATTAATCTTCCCAGCACATTGCTCGACTCTTTTGACCTCAGACTCCTTCCAAGAAGTAGGGCCACAGCATTGGCAGCTATTTAGTCAGGGCATTTCATTGACCTTTGAAGAGAGGAAAGATTTTATCTCCTCTGCATTAAAGAAATACAAAACTCCTGTTATATCTTCTGAGCCCTGTCACTAGCTAAATATTTGGCTTCCCTTCCATGGGTCTCATCCTTTTCCAGTATTGTCCTGGCCTCTCAGCTCTAATAGGTGAAAGACTCTGTACTAGGTCCTGTGTAAAATATAGAGATGTGTAAGATACAGTTTCTACACTCAAGCAGGTAGTCCAAATTTGTTGGCCCATTTACTGGAAGGCAGGTGGTTGCCTGTAGGATAATGTGACATTATATGTGTGATGAGCCGAAGCCCTGGCCTTGAGATGCAGAAGGATCTTGCTCAGTCTTGGAATGGGTTGAAGGGATCTGGCTCTGCTCAGCTACAGCCCGAGTCAAGCTGGTACAGAAATGACCTTAGCACTTACTCCCTATCCCTCTTAACCCTGCTTCCCATTTCCAGCCCAGGGGATAATGCATACTGTGAGCAGCATTAAGCAAATGGAAACTGTGGTGCAATTTCCCAGGGATGCTTGCTCATCATCTGATAAATGATTGCTCCGTCTTCCTCATTTCTGCCATTCTGGCTCTAATGGAATTGTGTTATTGTGGACTCAGATTCATTTCCCCAAGGGTTTTTTTTTTTTTTTTTTAACTGTATCTGAGCTAACTCATATTTCCAAGAAAAATTTCTCAGTGCTTTGTTTCCTTGTGGGTCCCTGATAATTCCATGTCACCGTTAGTGGGCCTTAATAGTTCTGATTTGCTTACAGAGTTTTCTAAAGAAATAGTTTTCTATGAAATGTTTCATTTTCAAGCAGAGTTTCCATAAAGAGGACTTAATGATGTAGTTGACATCTTAGTAAAACAATTTAAGATAATGATTTTAAAATGATGTTAAGCTTGGTCATCAAAAAACATTGGCACTTTCGAGTGTGTGAATGAAGGAAAGCTAGTTCAAGTTCTGGCTTTCTTAGCAGAGCCAAGCAAGATGTCAGAAGAGGCAAAAATTCAAGAGATGGTTTCTGGGAAACGAGGTTGTTGGGTAAAATTGTTATTTGTGCATTTGCTTGCAAAAAAAGATACTAAAGTATTAATATACTGATGCTTTCATTAAAATGTGGCATTTTGGGTTTCTTATCAAGGGAATGGCTGCAGAATAGAAATGACTTGACTTCGTTATTATTGACTGGTTAAATTTAATCAAGGTGAGGATGAGTGAGAAGTGGTTTAGCCCTACACTCTGATGAAGGTATCATTCCTGTAAATGATGAGGCTCAAATCTGTGGGTGTGGAATAACATGCTATTAGGTTTGCATTTCATTCAGCTCCCTTACAGTAGAGACAGGATAGGCAGAATTTCAGACAGTTCAATCTATCTTCTGAATTTTTCATTTTATCCTTAAATATCTACTTAGACTTTTATCAAACTGGGGTTTTTGATGTATCTTTAAAAAAATGTTTTTTTTATTTGTTAAAGTAGAATGCATTTATGCCCTTTGATATATCATACATAGATGGGGTATAATTTCTCATTTTTCTGATTATACATGTTACAGAACCACATTGGTCATGTAGTCACACATAAACATAAAATAATAATATCTATTTCATTCTTCTATACTTCCTATCCCCATATCCCCTGCTCTCCCCTCCCTTCCCTTGTACTCCCCTCTACCTAATCTAAGGTAACTCTGTTCTTCCCTAGTGTCCCCCTGTTGTGAATTAGCTTCCTTTTATCTTTTTTATCTGCTTATCTTCATTACCTCAGTAGAAGATGATAATGAACAACAGGATGTCTAAAACAAACAAAAGCATGCAGGCTGAATGGGAGAAGCAGCAGCAACCCTCCGGTTTAACCTTGTACAAACAAACACTGGTCACCAGATTACCAATAACCAAGTATCAACAAACAATTTCAAAAGATCCAAGGAAAAGCGGAAACTGGAGGGACCTATAGATTACAACAGCAATAGCGCTGTCCGTCTCCAACTACTGTCCCTGTTTCTCTTTTTCTAGAAAGAAAAAAAGGGGTTATTGAAGTTGCTGTCTGGTGCCTCCACCAAACGGAAGCCCCGAGTATCCCCTCCAGCATCGCCCACCCTGGAAATGGAGCTCAGTGGTGGCGAGTTGCCCCTGCAGGGAGCTGTGGGTCCTGAGCTACCCCTTGGGGGAGGCCACGGTCGAGCAGGCTCCTGCCCCGTGGACGCGGATGGCCCAGTCACCGCGGCACCAGCAGGGGCAGCCCTGGCCCAGGATGCTTTCCATCGGAAGACCAGCTCCCTGGACTCCGCAGTGCCCATCGCACCACCTCCTCGTCAGGCATGTTCCTCCCTGGGTCCTGTTGCAAATGACTCTAGGCCTGTTGTTTGTGAAAGGTGAGTTCACTGTCATTCTAGGAGAAAACTCTGAAGTGAATAGCAAGCTTTATGCTGGAAAATACAGTCTGATATCTAAGATATTTTCTTGTGTCCTTATTTTTAGCTGAATTTGTAATAACGTCAAGCTCTGACTCTATTCACTTGCTGCAATGTACTCTGGTCTCCTTTCCCCCTATCCCTAGATCTCTTCCGTGGGGTTGGTCTCCGGCCTTCTTTTTCTTTATTTTCAGAATGGATGCAGATGAAATTTATCAGTCACCAGAAACTCACTCGTATTTACTTCCTTCTTCCTGCTTCTGTTCCATTACCAGCAGTCACTCTCTCTATTTAACCTCTGCATTTATTAAAAGTTGATATCATCACCTGCTGGTTTAAAGTAGCTAGAGAATTCTTTCCTTCTTCCTCCTGACCCAGAAGAGTGTGGCTGTCCTCAGTCTTAGTTCTGACTCTTCTCCTGACCTAGTGACTTGGTTCAGTACACTCAGAATAATGAGGTCTGTTTTGGTGGTTCTGGCCTTGAATAATGATCAGAAACAGGAGCAGTTCTGTTTGATACAGCCAGTGGGATTCTAGGAGTGTGTTAGGAAAGAAAATACACTTAATGAGACAAAATCTATTTGGTTTATACAAACTGAGAATGAAATACTCTTTATTACCCAGGAAAACATCATGAAGAACCCTTAAAGCAGTGTGCTATTTTCACATAAAATACAAACGTTTTGCTTTAAGTGCTGTTTCATTGTTTCTGTAAGTTTCATTCCCTCGTGACCTGCATTTCATAAATGAAGCAAATTTTAAATTCATGGAAGTATTGCCTTTTTCAAAGCATTTTCTGTGTTACAGAACTGAGATCTTACTGTAAAACACTATATTTTAAAATGACTCAAATTCACTTCACCATTGCATTTTTAAAAAAAAAAATTTTAAAGATGTTGATGGATCTTTATTTTATCCATTTATTTATATGTGATGCTGAGAGTCGAACCCAGTGCCTCACACATGCTAGGCAAGCGCTCTACCACTGAGCCACAACTCCAGCCCCTCACCATTGCATTTTTAAATTTATTTATTTATTGCTGTGCTGGAGAGTGTCTGGCCTCCCACATGCCCAACAAGCATTCTACCACCGAGCCAATTCCCCAGCACTTACCTTTGTCTTTCAGATAAAAGCCATGTGAACATTTGTGCTTATCAAAATCTAAAGTCCTCATTTATATGATTTTGTGGCATACTTTTTTACTTAAACTATGAGGGCTGGGGTTGGAGCTTAGTGGTACAGCTCTTGCATAACACAAATGAGGCACTGGGTTCTATCCTCAGCGCCACATTAAAATAAATAAATAAAAGGTATTGTGTCCATCTACAATTAAAAAGAAATATTAAAAAAACTATGAAGTGCAGGGGAGTGATATTGGCCAAATTTTATTGTTATATTGTGTGCATGTACAAATTATGTAATAATAAATCCCATCATTATGTACAACTATAATGCACCAATTTAAAAATATGGGGGAAAAACTGAAAAACGGAAAAGAATAAACTTCAAACAACCTATATGCATTTAGTACAAAATGCACAGTGTATGTTTTTATAGTAAAGTTAAATAATAATTCTGATTCTTATAAAACCAGTTGAGAAATGAGAAATTACCCTAAAAAAACATCTCCTCCTTACACTTGGAATCATTCTTTCTCTTGTCTTTTGTGCTCTGGTAAAGCTTTGAAGTTGTGTCCTGACTTCACTTGATCTTCTATTCGAGCGGCAGGCTTTTTCTTGCAGTGCTGTTACTCTGCTTTCCAGGGACAGGAGGTCCTGTCCCTGGAGATAGTCCAGTCACTTGTGTACTTTCTTTTGGTCCCAAAGGCTCCCTCTTTCCCTCCAGGCGATGATCTGCAGTTTCCTGCATTCCGTGAGGCTCGCTGTCCTCTTTTCTCTGTCATTTTGGTATTTGTGTGACTGTTTCCAGGGATGGTTCACTTGCCCAGACTCTCCCCAGGCCCTGACTCAGGCACTGCGAGCCTCCTACCCCATTATGCATTCCTTTTCAGTTGCCAGATGTCCTCAGTCTCTGTGGCTTCTGCATTCCAGCCCTTTCCTCTTAGAGAGGCTCATTTCTAACAGCAGGCTCCTGCTGTTCAGCGCTCCTGAAAAGGAGAAATTACTAAGGAAGACAGGTGATGGCGTTTCAGGGAGCAAGGGACGCACATCAGACAGGGAACATGGAGAATTTAATGATGGGACAGATGGGCTCAGGCACTCTGGAATTCTCTCACACATTTTTAATATAACCATTTCAATTTTTAGGAGTGGGAAATAGGTCTTTGGAGAAGATTTCTGCCCACTTTTATACTTTTATAATTCATACGTTCAGTGGAATATTAAATACAAAGCTAGCACGACCAACTTCTCATAGCCCTTTACTTTCATACAATGATGAGAATCATATTTATTTAGCTTGGATTCTTAAGTCTGCCTGACTGTAAAAACGTAAGAAAATGGGCTATTATCCACCAGAAATGAATTTTTTAATAGAAAACTTCCAAGGAGAGCTGGGGATATAATCAATGATAGGGTACTTGCTTAGCATGTGAGGCCCTGGGTTCAATCCAGCACCAGGAAAAATAAAAAGGTACCAGGTATATAATTTAGAGATTACCTGTTTGCATATTTCAAAAATTTTACCACAGCAAAAAGTATTTACTGCTTAATATGAAGGAAAAATCAACTTTCATTTCAGTATGATTCAGAAAGCATTTGAAGATGTTGTGTTTCCTTGATCAACAATATAAACATCAACAGTTCTTGCCCTCTCAAAATGTAGAAGCCTAGGGTTCTGTTGGTAGAACTTTTACTGATTGAATTTCATAGAAATATTTTTAGTCTATAATATCGGGGCAATATGAGATAGGGATCCCTACAGATTATAATGAGAGCCAGCACCAAACCTCTCAAATCATGACCCATAAATCTAAAGTAACAGGAATAAATAAACAATAAATAAATGAGGAAAGAAAGAAAGAAAGAAAGAAGAAAAACAGACAGACGTGACTGGGGCTGCCAGTGCTGTCAATGGAGAGAAGCATTCATGTGATGTAAAGACTTAAGCAGTCTCATAATAAGGAAGGACGAACCTTGAAGTGTGTTGACAGGTCTCAGTGTCAGCTGAGGGAATTCTCTAAGGAACAAAAGGATTCTTTTGTGTTTGTGAGAGAGACTGAAGAAAACAAGCAAGAAATAGCACTCTTTCCTGGAGGCAGAAAATGTATAATTGATGACAGCAGAAATAATAGAACAAATATTTTAGGCTCTATTTTAGGATTGAGAAAAAATAATTAGGAAATTGCAAAGAGAAAGTAGAAATAAAATATTTCAGAAGAGATGGCAAATAAAAGTATGTGTGATAGCCATATATATATATATATATATATACATATATACATACACACACACACACACATATATGTTTGTGTGTATATATATGGCTTAGGGAGACACAGCAAGTCAGCTGTCTCTACCTATTTTTAAGTTTAGAAATTAAACTGATAATCACATACCTATAAGCCCATCTCCTAAACTGGAAAAGAACCTATGATCTTTGATCAGGGATTAGGCTAGAATACTTGGAAACAAACAAATTGGATATAGATAGATTTATAGAAAGGCAGTCGGGCTTAACCAGCATGATTAATTTCTGTAAGTCAGAGACAATGAACCCACTGGGTGAAGCGACAGACATAATTTACTTGGGCTTTGAGCAAGCTACCAAGCCAGCTATCACAGTTTTGCGAGTCTAATTGGATATTAGACTGCTCTGGCAACTGGCAGAAAGTAGTGATGGTACTCACCCAGGCCAAGGTGATGGATTGAGCGGCTCCCAGCGTTACAGGGAGGCCAGTTTGGGCTAAACCAGGGGAGATTAGAAATGAAAATCCGCGAACTTCAGAGAATACAAGAAAAGCCAGAGAAATCAAGGAAATAGAAAATGTGTACTAATAAAAGACGGGTGAAAGCTAGACTACTGTAGCCCAAACCAGGAGGTTTGGCATTGGATATCAGTGGAATTTCTTTACTTAGCAGCGAGACTTGTTTCTCTAATTTTACCCTGGTAACTGTCCTTGGAAGGTGAGTTAATCACACAGCCATGAAAAGGCCCATTTGGATCTGAGCCACACCCCACACCTACACCACAGTTCTTTGTGCAAAGAGATCAGGGGGAACTTTCCAGCAACTGTGGTATAAGTTAGCTTGTTCCCTCTCTTTCTTCTTCCCTTTCTTTCTTCTACTATTTCCATTCTTTTTATTCATTTGGTCATCTCATTTTTTGAACTGTGGTAAAATGCAGATAAAATTTACCAATTTATCAGTGTGCAATTTAGCAGCATCAAGTACATGTGCATTGTTTACCACCATTCACCACCATCCATCTGCAGAAACATTCACCGTCCCACCCTGAGACTCTGTATCCTTTAGCAACAACTCCCAGTCTGTGGTCCCATAGGCCCTGAGCTGCCATTCTCCTTCCCATCTCTGTGAGTGACTGTCCTGGGTGTCTCACAATACAGTGTGTGTCCTTTAGTGTGTGGCTTATTTCACTTAGCATGGTGTTTTCAAGGTTCTTCTATGTTGTAGCAGGTATCTAGATTTCATTCCTTTTAAAGAAACATTTAAAATACATTTTAAAAATAGCTTTACTGTGTGGTTAGGCCTTTGCATCATGGTGCACGCTTAACAATAATCACTATATATAACTCTGCTTGGTGTAGTGTGAGACATAAAGTGGATTTAGCATCATCTCACCCCTCAAGCAGATTATGGTCTGGTAGAATAAATGAGACAGGGACAGGGATGCTGATAATACAATGGAGACTGTGCTAAGTGCCATAAGAAATATACATGGAGGCCTCTGGGATTTAGTCAAGCATGAAATTACTTCCAGCCATGGGGCTGGAGATTTCACAGGGGAGAATTGGAGTCAGGCTTTGAGAGATTGATAGGGTGTGGATGGGCAGAGATGCTGTTAAAGAAATTCCCAGAGGAAGGAACCACACCACGAGCAAGGTGTGGAGTGGGAGAAGCAGAGGCCATATCTGGGAAACGTGTTCCAGCTTAAGGGGGTGTTTGGTACATTCATGGTGATAATGGCAGCTCTAGCGATAGAGATGAAGGCCAGATCATTGATGGCTTTGTGGACTAGTCTGAGGATTAACCTTGCAGGCACTGGGGAGCTGTTAATGATTTTTCAGCAATGGGTAGCTACAAATAGAGTTGCCACTTAAGAATATTAAATGTGTAGAATGAATTGGAGACAGGGAGAGATTCAAGACAGGAAAGGAGTAGATGTTAATGAAGTCACCAACCGGGATGGTGACAATGATAATGAAGAGGAGTAGACGGGGTGCAAGTTTAAGGAAGTGGATCGGCAGGTGCCATGGAAGTCATGAACTCCTGAGATTTAGAACTGCCCTAAATCCCTGTTCACATAAAGACAGGCCTAATCCAAGTGAGGCAGAGGGCGGGGCACAGATGTGAATGAAGGGCCTCTGCAGCTGGGCCTTACATCTGTTTGTGGGTCTGTGAACCTTCTACTTGGCAAAGCTTTTTCAATGCCTGAGATAGTTGGCCTGTTGTGCCCAGAATTTGGCCACATGAGTCTGTATTAGAAAACTGTGCAAACCACCTCACAAGGCTCGAGGCCAGGATCTGAGCTGGAAGAATTCTGAGTCTGTCACTGCTGCACCTGGTAGTCTTCATACGATCAAGATTGTGTCACAGTTTCCATTATGCACATAGTTTCTCATTCCACCCCCTAGAGGTTTATAACTGAGCAATGAAAATTTGCTCCCACTGGGAACTTGGCAGGAAGATTATGTTCTTAGCCCAGCAGCAGTTCTAGTTCAAAAAATTTTTTGACAAAATTGGTTTAGTGCATTTTATAAAATGCAGATATTAATCTAATTCACTTCAAATTTTTCAAACTATTTTGGTTCCATTTTACCTTTAAGGCAGCTCGCAGAGAACCAGTTAGAATTGGGTCTCATAAGAGATCTGCTCTGAATATGTTTGGAATCATTTGTACTTTTTTTTTCTTTCTAGAATTGTAGAGCTTTACTTAAATTTTAACTTGCCCCAATTAGGAACTACATCATTTCTTTTTACCCAGATTTTCAGCATATTGGCATCAGACCTGAGAAATCTCATCTGCATCCTTCCTTCAGATAAAGCCATAATGAATTTGTTTGTCAGAGAAAGGATTCTAAAACTTTGATCATTCTCAAGTTTCTGAAGTCTTATTATCAAGAGATTCTTTAGGTTGTGTCCTGATTCCTGATTAGAGGTCCATCCTTCAAACCTTACCTCTAAGAAGTGCCAGACCCCTGCCTACTCTTATATAAACCATATGATCACAGTGGGAGCTAATATTTTGGGGTTGAACTCTGTATCAGTTGCCATACGAGGGCTTCATTCAAAGCATCTCATTATAGTCCTATTCTACGGATGTGGAAACTGTGACTAAGAAAGCTAAGATAACTGACCCAAAGTTAAGCAGCTCCATGTGTCCCTAAAAACTTGTCACCCCACTCCCTAGGCTAAGGCTTTCCTCACAGTGCCAGGCCTCATCCCCAAGTCTGTGCTTGATTGAACCCTGACACATGTGTTTATAAATGCTTGTGTCTGAATTAGCTAACCCTTTCTAAACAGCTAACCCACCTCTGTGTTGTACTTATGCTGGGTAGCCACATAGCCTTTGTGTGTGTGTGTGTGTGTGTGTGTGTGTATTAAATAATATAATAGTCTTATATATGTATGGTCTTTGTAAATATAAGTGGATATGAATGACTGGGGTGATTCATTCATATCACTATTGTTTGGGGTTTTGGAAAGAGACTTCTGTTCCTTACAATGCAGTGGCCTTGTAGGGATGTTGAGTGTCCTTACAACATGGCTGTTGATTTTTCTCACAGTGAATGATCCAAGAGAAAGTAAACTGGAAGCCACATACCTTTAATCATCTAGCCTCAGAAATCACGTGCTGTCACTTTCATAATACATTATCAGTCAGACAGGTCATCCCTTTGTGTTGTGGGAGGAGCCTACACAAGTGTTGAGAATACAGGAAGGCAAGGATCACTACAGCCCCAGGGGGTGTTGGCTGCCATATACCACCATTCCCATCCCCCACCATTTGGTTGGAAAAAGCAAAAGGAGTAAAGGAAAGAAATATCACTGGATAAACAAGAGAAGGCTAAAAGAATATAGAACCTAAACTAAGTTACCTTCCTCTGGCTTTCTTGGCTGCTGAATAATCCCATGCAGAGAGCCTCAGCAACAAAGAGGCAGGAAATAGGAAATATTAAACCAGCAAGCTGCTGGAGTGTCTAAGTGCTAACTCTACCTTTCCCACTGATAGCTGAGTTGAGAAACAAGGAGAAATAGGCACAGATCTGAGACTACAGAATGTCAAACTCATTAATGGTGGTGGTGGATTGAATCTGTGGCCACAGTCTCTCTTCCAAGTCTGGACCTTGGGCTACCTTTCCAACAGAGAATGTAGCTGTGTAAAGCAGATGAACTTCCTTAGCATTCCTGCCAAGTCCCAGAATAAGAGATGCAAAGACACAGGCTTTCAGATGTACTGCCAGCAAGCAGGCCTGACCCTGACCCCTCTCTGGTTACAAGGTACGGCAGAGCAGAGCCCACTCTGAAAGCAAACAATTCGAAGAGGCTCGAACCCAGATGCTCAGCTATTCTCCCAGTCTCACCAAATAAATACACTCCTCTCTTCTTGGAGTAGAGGGCAGGACACTTCTCCTGGGAAATTGAATAAGACTTTTCAGTTTCCCAGTTTGTAGGGCCAACATACAAACACTGGGAGGGGTCAAATGGCTCTCCTGCATAGGTCATCCAAATAAACCAGTCTGGACCATCAGTAGTGGACAAATGCACATATCCAAACACATTAATGCCAAGCAAATCTCTACTGACAGAGAAGAGCTGTATTTTGAGTTTTTACAGACCCTTATAAACAAATTCATGCTATTTCCTATTCTGTTTATTTTGAAGGCTCATGCAGATTGACAAGTGCACCATTCTTATCACTACGTTGATGGCCTTAACCAAAGTCTCCCTCTCTCTTGTAGGCACCGGGTGGTGGTTTCCTATCCTCCTCAGAGTGAGGCAGAACTTGAACTTAAAGAAGGAGATATTGTGTTTGTTCATAAAAAACGAGAGGATGGCTGGTTCAAAGGCACGTTGCAACGCAATGGGAAAACTGGCCTTTTCCCAGGAAGCTTTGTGGAAAACATCTGAGGAGACAAACACTGGGGAGACTCAAAATCACATCACACAACAAAAGAGCACAAAGCAGTTTGATGGAAAGAGCACATCTGTGGACTTCGAAGGGTCAGGAGCTGAGCAGAGGGTTGGTATGTGGCTCCAGAGCCTCAGCACAGCCACACCAGCCAGCAGAGCAAAGCCGGTGTCTAGGTTTCACCACTCAGTTGGGATTGTAAGGTGTGCCTTGTACTGAGCAACCTTTTTTGTTTTTGAAAAATGTATAACTAAAATGGACAATTGTTTACAAGGCTTAACTAATTTATTTGCTTTTTTTTAAACTTGAACTTTTCTTGTAATAGATAAATTCTTTGGATTATGATTTTAAGAAATTATTAATTTATGAAATGAGAGCCAAGGAGAAGCTGGATTATCTCCTATTGAGAGCGAGAGATTCGTTTTGATGTCAGATGCATCTTCCCTCCCTTACCCCTGCCCCCCCACCATTATATTTTGCTTCTCTAAGACAGAATTACCAGTTCTCTAATTTGGGTTTTCCTCTTTGGGAAACCAAACATAGAATTGAATCAGTATAGAAAGGGCCTGGGGTAGGGAGAAAAACTCAAGAGAAGAAAGGTTAGTGTTCCTTTTTTTCTAGTTTGATCAGGAATCAACCTGAAGACCTAGTCCTCAATTTAATTTTATGGGTTTTTAAATTTCCCTAGAATGGAACCAGTAATAAGGAAAAACAAAGCACAAGCATTGACTAGAAATATATTCAGAAATAATATTTAGTTTTTATAACAGAAGCAGCTCAATTCATTGGTTGGAAAGTAGGGAACATTGACGTTGTACTTGCTGTCTTGAGAATGGCTATGAAATGTAATTTCCATTTTACCCCAAGTGATCTGCATGCCCAGGACACAGTAAAACGTTTGTGAGATGTGGTGGTAAGTGATGCGCTCGTGTTCGGGTCAAAGGCTGTAAGAAACACTGTGAAAAGTTTACGTTCATCCATTGTGGCTCTTTCTCCACCGTCTTGCATGTGTTGCCAAGTCCCACAGTAACATGGACTGTGCATGGTGTGTATAGTTCATTGCCGTTTTCTGCTGAGGTTAGTTTGCATTCAGCATTGACCACTGCAGGAGATGTAAAATAAACAGCACTCTGTACCCCACAGCCTCTCCTGACCAAGGTCTGCTGAGCACACTCGCTCCCTCTCTGGCTAAGGTGTCCATTAGCCATCACACAAGTCATGACTGAAAATGCTCTGTGTCCTCCCAGCAGACAGATGGAAAGGATGAGCTTATCCAGGAGGCTGCTCCTGAGGCTGTTCCTTGGAAGCTCTGGCGGGAAGGCTTGGCGGGAGCCAGTGTGCCCACACCTTACAATTGTGGCAGGATCCAGCTGAGCCTGCCTTTTTATATTTATATCCATTCGTTGATGTCATTGGCCTCTTCCACCGATTTCATTACGGTGCCACGCAGTCGTGGACCTGGGGAGTCCTGAGAATAAAAGGAGGGAAGGCAGCCTGGTGGTGAGGTTGTTACCACAGTTTTCTCATGGGAACTAAGTAAAGAAAAAAACAAACCTTATTTTTTTTTTTTTTACACTTTTAAGAATTAATGCTGGGAAATAGAAACATGGACTTAAAAGTCTTCTTGCAATAGCAAGAAGTTTCATCGTCTTAAAAAGATACAGAATGTGGTTGAAAATGAAATCATTCCTAAGTTAACCATTTTTTTTTTTTTTTTTATAAAACACTGTACATTATGTTCCTGTGTGTTGAATTTTTTTTTTTTTAAATACTGGGATATTCATGTAATATATAAAGGTTGGTGAAATGAACTTTAGTTAGGAAAAAAAAAGCTGATGCCAGCTTTCATCTGTGTAAGTTGACACCAATGTGTCATAATATTCTTTATTTTGGGAAATTAGTGTATTTTATAAAAATTTTAAAAAGTAAAAAGACTACTACAGGTTAAGATAATTTTTTACCTGTCTTTTCTTCATATTTTAAGCTATGTGATTGAAGTACCTCTGTTAATAAGTTTCCTGGTATAAAGTTGGTTAAGATTTCATCTGTTAATAGATCATTAGGTAATATAATGTATGGGTTTTCTATTGGTTTTTTTGGAGACAGTAGATGGATTTTGTAACAAGGGCTTGTTACACAGTGATATGGTAATGATAAAATTATAATTTATCATTCCTTTACATGTTAATAATTTGAGGACTAGATAAAATGTTTCAAGATTAAAATTTGATGTTCAACCTTTATAAGTCCCCTGTGTCAGTCCTTAAAATTTTCCTTTTTTTTTTTTTAACCTAGGATACTTTTGACTTGATTTCTGTTTCATAAAAATTCTTTGCATACACCTCAAACAGCAGGTGTCTGCAAGCATCAGTTTGGTGGTTATACACTTTACCTCTCCAACTAACAAAAAACCTTATTTGTTTAGTTCCTCCAAGAAGCTTGAAGTCTTCTGCAAAGCGTCTATAAGGTCTCACAAGATCCTGCATAGCATCTCTGCTCCCCCTCCCCCTTCAGGGTTACTAAAGAGCCTGGTAAGTGCTAGAAGCCATGGGAAGGGTAGCAGACCTTCAGCCAACCATATGAACTGTTGGGTCTCAACATGGCTTGGGGACCTAATCCTGAGACCTACCATGATTTTAATCTTCCATGAAATGAAAAGACCACATAATTCTTGTTCAAAAATATTTTTCCATTAACTCTTGCTTACTCTCAAATGACTTGTGAGAATTAAAAATCAGGCATTCCAGGTTGTATTGTGGCTTTACCAAAAAATCACCTTTGTAATCATCTGTGTAAGTCAGTTACTAGTTTCTTCATATTACTGGTCTGTCTATCCCACTGGGTAAGGTGAGTCACAAAGGAGAAAATGTCATTGTTTTGAAACTTTTAATTTTATTACATTTGTATATGGCATTAAATTCATCTCTAGTTTCAAATATTTTATCTCACTTTATTAGAGTACACAATATATAGTAATGGAGTCTAATTGCATTCAGAAGGAACAAAGGAAGGTGATATTTCCAACTGCTGTGCATTGAATTGTCTATGATAATAAGACAACCATTGATTGATTGATTGATTGATTGATTGAGTGACTGACTGTTTGACTATTTAATTGATTGAGACAGTGTCTTCTTATGTTACCCAAGCTAGTCTCAAGCTCCTGGACTCAAATGATCTTCCTGCCTTAGCCTCCTGTGTAGCTGGGACTATAGGCACTCACTGCTCCACCCAGCTTAAGACAACATTTTTATATCTTCACAAGTTCAGGTGAATATTTTAATCCAGAACTATGAACAATACTGGTATTCAAGTTTGGAAAGTGCTTTTAATAGATGTTTAACTAAGTTGTGCAACTCTAAGTATGTATCCATGTGAATTTTTTTTTTAAATGTGTTTTGAACCAGTTAAAGCAAGCCCTTATCAAGATGGAGTCCTATTGAAAACTTCTCCTTTCCAAGGAAAAGAGTTTGCCAGCTTCCCAAAATAAACATTTACAAAAGAGATTAGCCAATATCCAGATCTGGCTGAGGGGAGTAACCCTCACTGACTTCTGTGGCTCCAGAATGTAATGGGGAGTGCTGGGGACTTTGCTCTGCCTGCCCCTTAGCGATCGTCACCAGAGGTAGAAAGGAGCTATTAGACTGAATGGTAACCAGCCAAAGTAAATGGTGACAATTTTAAAATACCCTGTCTCTAGTTCACAAATGAACATTTCTTTGACTTCCTATTACAACTAACCCCTGAACAATGCAGGTTTGAACTGCACAGGTCCACATACATAAAGGGATTCTTTGGAGATTTGCAACAATTTGAAAAAACTTATGCTAAACATCACAGCCTAGACCTGTTCAAACAAGAAAAAATTAGGTGGGGATGTGTAAAGTATATGTAGATAACAGTTTTATTTTGTCATTTACTACCATAAAATACATGCAAATCAGTTAGATTTTATCAAAACTTAAGCACACTGTATGTGGCCCCATTCACAGTTGAGAGAAATGCAAGCAAATGTAAAGATACATTGTTATCTTTATATCATAACTGCATAAGATTAACTGTAGAATTATGGTAATCTTGTAGCCACCTCCTATAGCCATTGCAGTGAGCTCAAGCATTAGGATTATCTGCTTAAAACTCTGTGTGCTACTGATCATCTCCACGCGAGTGGTTCATCTTTCCAGGAAATTGTGTGTGGCAGGAGAAAGCTATTTCTGGTGGGTCTCACCTTTTTTTTTTTTTTTTTTAGTGTGTGTATGCAACACATATAACATACAAAGTATGGATTAATCAACTGTTAATGTTATCAGTGAGACTTCTGGTTGATAGCAGGCTATTGATAGTTCAGTTTGGGGGGAATCTAAAGTTACACTCAGATTTTTGACTCCATGAGGAGGTTGGTGCCCCTAAATTGTTCAAGGGTCAAGTGTAATTACTTTCCGATTTGGCTCATTGGATTTCCATTTCAGAAACACCATATGGATCTTACTCTTGCTAATTCTCATCGTTCTGCAATGATCCAGACTCTCAGTAACTAGGTTGAAGAGATATGCAACTGACATTAATCTTTTTTTTATTTTCAGTACTAGGGATTGAACTCAGGGGCTCATGTATGCTAGGCAAGCACTTTACCACTGAAGTATATATGCCCAGCCTTTTGAAATTTTATATTGAGACAGGATCTCACTAAGTTACCAGGCTGGCTTTGAACTTGTGATTTTCATGTAGGAGGCACTGTGAACCACACAGGTCATGAGAAAGACTGAGGTGGGAGTAAAAAATAGGAGCAAAGGGAATGTTTATCCCACTGCCTTTATTAGGGGTTTGTGTAGGAGAGCCCAGGCAAGACAGGGTGAGCAATCAATAATTAAATAATTTCACCAGGCTTTAGACCATGAGGCATGGGGCCAGGACTTCTGCTACCTGGGATGTGACTTCCTCAGTCACAATAGCCACATTTCAAGGATTCACTAGCCACACATCTACAGCAAAAGAAAGACATAACTAACCAGTGCCTTTCTGGTGAACATTCAAGTTATTTCCAATATTTTGATATTATAAGCAAGACTGAGATGAATATGATAGTATTATTTTATACTTGATTAACAGATGAATCTGGAAGACAAATTCTTAAAAATTAAAAGAGGTTAAGGTATTTGTAATTTTGAAATTAGGTGCTCCTCATTTTTATAATTGGATTTTATTTAAATTAATTAGATTTAAATACAAAAAGCCATAGTGACAATAGCTACAGTATTAGGCAGTGCAGTTTT